ATGTGGGGCTCGAACCCACGAACCACAAGATCGTGACGTGAGCCAAAGTCAGACGCTGAACCAACTGAGCCACCCAGACGCCCCGGTTTTGTTTTTTTTAAAGCAAGCACCAGCTTTCCCATCTGTAAAATGGGTGTAATCATACCCATCTCCTAGGTTGCCATGGGCATTTAATTAGGTCAGCCGTGCAGAGGCACCCATTACACAGTCTGGGTCATAAGGATGTTAGTCTTTCTTCCCTTAGTGACCCGTTGATCTCTGCTTACTTAGGAAATGGAATACCAAATGGTCTGAGGGCCCTAGTTATGTAAATGATCAGCACTGCACTGGAAAACAACTCCCGATGTCTGCAGATGATGGGAATTTGGCTTGATGTTAATTATTTTCTTTTCCTGGCGTGTTGGTTCCAAGTCTCTTACTGTTCAGCCCAGAGGGTGGGCGTTACAGCCCAGAGGGTGGCCGGGAGTGTTTGGTAGCATCGTGGGATGTGGGAGATAGGTGCTAGGTTCTGGCTCTCGCCCAGATGATGATGGAGGCCACTGTCGTGGCGTCTCTGAGTTGAGCCCTAATGTGTGGTGGGAGCCCAGCGTGTGGGAATCCAGATTCTTCTGGCCGCACGGCTTGCCAAATGCACAGAGCTCGTGTCGGCGGGGAGCACGCTGCCGGGAGAGTTTGGCCAAGGGCTTGGAAGTTCAATCTGAAGAGGCCTCCAAACTAGGAACATGGCTCCCACCCCGGCCTGGTCCCCAGACGGCTTCTGCGAGCTCTCACGTTTCCTGCTTCCATTCTGGCCAGGCAGAGGCATACTAACTTGTGGGGTTTTTCTGCTTTCCCTTTTCTGGTGTTTGCGCATCTAGGGGGCCACAGAAGCATCTAAAAACCAGGAATTGTTGGGCGGTGGGCAGGAAAAGAGAATTCCCGATTTATTCTTCAGAGAGAGCTTGGCTGGCTTCTCTATACTGGCCATTTCGCGGAGCGCCTGTCTGCAAAGAGCCCCATTTCGCCTTTGTCAAGTGGCCTGATAGGACTCTCCTTCTTCTGGTCATTAACTTTGCCAGGAGCCCGTGTAAAAGCGTTTGAAAGGGATATTTGTTCACCTCTTTATACCTTACCTTTTCCAAAAAATAGGGGGTGATGATTTGGGATTCTAATTACCATGTATCATGATGAAATCTTACTATGCTGAAGTGTAATTGAAATGTTTAGAACAGGTTGCAAAAGTATATCATTTGTAGAAAGGAAAAATGGGAATTAATTATCTCTAGACCCAAGAGCGAAGAGCGAGTTTGTTTCAGAACTAGAAATTAGCCGCCCCGTGTAGCGAGCATTTCAACATTCCGCCCTGCCGCCAGGCAGGTGACAGGCATAAGGTTGGACCCTTTGTGTGGGCTGGTGTCTTCTGGGACATGGACAGACAGGCGTTAGTCATGATCTATGCCGGGAAAGGACGTGGTTAGTACTTTGAGAAATGCAACTTGTGGGAAGCTTAGCAGGTGTGTAAGGCTGAGTTTGGAAGCTTGGAGACCCGTTAGGGGCAGTGTGGCATCTATGGGGATGGAGGGAGCAGTGGTGACGTCCTGGGCTAAGTGGTTAGTAGTGGGGATAGAGCAGGATGGACAAAGGGCAGGGGCATTTGGGGGTCGATGTCAATAGAACTTGGGAGGAGGGTGCAAAGAATTCTGGGGTGTATCGCTGAGAGAGAGCCGAGACCTTGAATTGGAGGTACCAGAGAGATGTTAGTGCGGAAATGTTGCATAGCCTGTGGAAGATAACAAGGAGGGTCCCAGGAGAGAGAGGTCAGGAAAGAGGTAGGAATTTGCAAATCTTTTGTATGTATCTAACAATAGAAGCCCTGGGGTATGTGGAAATACACAAAATTAATGGGACATTTCCCCAGTTTTCAGGGACCTGGGGAAGAGAGGAAGCTAGGTTAAGAGAGTGAGCCAAGGGAGGGATGGGGTCGCACTCAAGGGGGGTGGGGGTGCGTTTCTGAAAGGAGCATGAAATCAACAGTGTCCAGAGCTGCAGAGGGAAGAATTGAGGGGTTAGAAGAACTCACTTTGGTCTGACAAAAGGTTCCTCCATCGGCTTTCAGAGGTGTGGGGATGGAAACAATGTTTGCGGACTGACCAGGAGGTAAAGATGATGTGGTTTTGGAGGTTAACTAGCTCTTCTGAGTTTGTCTGTAAAGGGAGGGAGAACAAGTGTTGAGATAAAAGATTTTAGAATAATCTAGTTACAGATCTCGTATGAAGGACACCAGTGTTGGTCCTTGGTGTATCTTTACTCTTCAAAATGACTGGGGCCTTGGTTTTTTAGTTTTGTTTTTAAATTTTTTTTAATGTTTGTTTATTTGTGAGAGATAGAGCTCGAGCAGGGGAGAGACAGGGAGACACAGAATCTGAAACAGGCTGTCCGCACAGAGCCTGACGCAGGGCTCGAACCCACGAACCACGAGATCGTGACCTGAGCCCAAGTCAGACGCTTAACCGACTGAGCCACCCAGGTGCCCCTAGTTATTTTAATTAGAAAAGAAATAACCAATTTTTGATTTATGATGTATTTCCTCTCTGCATCCTAAGAAGTATGTTTTCTCTTTATTCTTGAAACATTTG